AATCAGATTCAGGTAGCCACGGTGTGGCGCCTAGGCCTGGTGCCCACCCGTGTCCCTCATCTGCCGCCTGACATGAGGCTCGGGACAAAGGCCCTGAGAGCGAGCGAGCTCCCTCCCCCAGGGCCGCAAGCTGAACCTGAGGGAGGCAGCCATCTGTACTTCTGTTCCGGTGTGACCTGCATCCCAGCCACTCTCCCCTTGCATTAAATGGCAGTTCGAGTGTGGGCAGAGGAGCTGCATGTGAGCCAGCACTGCAGACCCGCCCGTGTGCTCCTGAGGGGACTGTTCCCCACTTGATGTCCACATCCCTCCCACATGACAGCCCACTCAATTCATCATGGCCTGGATCCTGTGTTGGGGCAATTTTTTGAGGCTTACCCGATGTGCTCTCAGGTCAAAGCCAGGTGCAAAGGGAATTTCCATTCTCTGAAAAGGGTGGGCTTCAAGGCCACAGAGCTGGGGGCCAGGCCACCCTGGGTGCCAGCCTGTCATCTGTGGGCTGTACCACCAGGGCTGGAGGCCAGGAGATGCACTCTGCCCTGTGTGGGGCACCTCGAGCCAGCGCCTGCAGTGACTGCGTCTCTGAAGTCCAGGAGCGGACAGGTGAGCCCACCAGAGCCCCCCGGGGGACCAGGGCCAGGCGAGGCCCCTCTGCGGCTGCGCAGCCTCCGGCCACAGCCCTGGGCACCTGAGTCTGGAGTTCGGTTTCAACACGAAGCAGGTGGCAGCAGACCCTGGGCTCCGGAGCTTTTGGACGCCACAGAGGGGCCTGTTCCAGGAGGGGGACTGCCCCCGTGGGGTCTAGTGGAGAGGGCGTTCAGCCAGGCAGCTGGGAAGGACAGCCTTGCCGTGTGATGGGCATCCTTGGGCGTCCACGCCCTCCAGGGACATCCTCCGGGTGGTTGGCGCACACATCCTCCGCTCCCCGTGCAGTGCCTAGAAAGCCTGTGTGGGGTTCTGGCAGCGATGGCACCCGCCCTCCAGCCCCCTCCCAGGGGGTGCCCCAGAGCCTCTGCCCGCAGCCCCTCCTCCACAGCCACACTCCCACCCACCAGTTTGGCGGGGCTTTGGGTGGGCAGGAGGATGGAGAGAGGCGGCGGCCCTAGAGGGACCCACACGTGTCAGGGGAAGCTGAGGCCCATGAGGCCACTCCTGCTGGGGAGAACCCATGGGGAGGGTCGCCGTGCCACAGGGAGGGGCCCTCTCAAGATGATTTTGCACCCCCGCTGGGCCAGCAGTGCCCCCACCCTGCCTACGCGGTTGTAGGAGCTGGCTGCGCGTGACCTGCTGTGCACCTGCACCTTGGTGTTCGGGGAAGGCCCTGCAGAGCCCAGCTGCTTCCTCTCTGCCCAGTGCCCCTGACCCCCCCCCGCCGCCACCTCACCCCTTCTCCCGCCCGCCCCTCAGGGCAGCTAAAGGGCTCCTGGCCGTGGGTCCCTCCTTGCCTGCATCTAGAGGGCATCTCCCTCGCTGTGGGTCCTGGGGTCTCAGCTGCCTCTGACCCGTCCGGCTCTGGCTCTGCGTTTGTCTGAGGCCCCTCGCTCTGCATAGGCCGACTAGGGTCCTGGGGCGTGGTCTCCTGGGGGCGGGCCGGGATGTGGTTCGAGAGCCGGCCTGTCTGGGTCCCCACCTCTGGCCCGCCCTCCAGCCTTCCTGCTGCCACTTTTCCAGTCTTGCCCAACCCAGTTATTTCTGCCCTTGCCTCAGCCACCCGCAGGAGCACCGGCCTCCCTGGGTCCTCCCGTCCTCTGCGCCCACGGGACCCCTTGCCCCACCCAGCCTGCAGGTCCCTCCAGTCCCCTAGGCGTGGCTTCCAGGCCTTCCGACCCCCGGGACAGCACTAGGAGCCAGCAGAAGGTGGGGTGACGGGTCTCTGGCACTGTCCCATGGTACAGCCCGTGCCCCAGGGTCCAGCCGTCCCACCTCAGAGCCAAAGCGGAGTGTGGATGGGGCGACGGCCGCTGGGAAGAAGGCCGCCCAGGTCAGAGGAGGAAGGCTGGCTGGAGCGAGTCTACTGGGGGTCTGCCTTCTTCCTTGCTTCCTGGGCACGGTGTAGGATGGGGGACCGCAGCCAAGGGTCACGGGACAGGGAGGACACCCCTGTGCCTGGGCACTCCTCTCCCTCTGCTCGCTCATTCCCTCCCTCCGCCCCCACCCACTGGGTCCCTCCTTCCGAACTTATCCACCCAGCCATTTACTTCCTCAGGCAGACCAGGTCCTACCCCAGGGAACAGTGTGTGGCCATGTGGCAGACCTGTGCCCCATGCCAGGAGGGAGGATCACCAGCTCCCCCTGGGAATGGGAGCAAGAGTAGTGGGCCAAGGTGGAGGGCATCTCCCTCTTCCCCTTTTTTCCTGGCCTCTTCCTCCATTCCCACTGGCTCCTCCCCTCCGCTTTGTCTCTTGCTTGGGTATGGTTGAGCAGGTCTCGCACTGCTCAAGGGCTCCCAGCAGAGGACAAGGACTGACATCAGCTTGTGCATCCCCCTAACCCTGCATGAAGGCAGCCTAGGGGTCATGGACCGCAGGAGCTCCAACGCTCCCTCCTCAAGATCCCCCATCTGGCAAGCCCTGCAGCCCGAACCCCAAGCCACATCTGGGCAGGTCAGGTGGAAACATGGAGGGCTGGGGAGACCAGGCCTGGCCAGGCTGAGCGTGGTAAATTGTCAGGGTTTGCACAAAACGTCTTGGGCTCCAGCTGCAGGCCCCTCGGGATGTTTCCCAAGAGGCTTCCCTGGGCCCCCCTCTGTGGCGGGAGAAGGGCCCAGGGGCTGCTTCGAAGGTCTCGGCCCAGGCAAGGCCCCTGAAGATGCCAGAGCCAGGGAGGGGCCCAGCCTCCTCCCCGGGGCTGTGCTTGGCATGCAGAGGTTGGGGGTCCTGACACCCCCTCCCCGGGGCTGTGCTTGGCATGCAGAGGTTGGGGG